TACTTATACAACGTAACTTTACATTTGCCTTTACTTATTGCAATAACATAACTATTTAAATTAAACCCAAGTTCATAACAATTATCACAATATTGTGGTAATGGTAAGAAATGTATACGACTTAATGGACCGAAATATTTCTTACCAATTATAACATTTTGCAAGTTTTATTAATTTCTTCATACTATTTGCTTTTTCTTCTTTCAACATTAAAATTTCTTTTATTTTTTTTAACCTCTTGCTGCAGTAAATTCATCTGCCTCAGGGCAAGTTCCTGTTTCCTCTTTTCTCGTGCTGTTTCCTGAGTTTCTTTTGCAGCCATTGGCTTTTCCTCCTTTTCGTTCTCATCTTCTTCGGCTATTTCCACAACAGAAAGACTTCTGAAAATTTCAGTTAGTAAAGCGTAATGAGAATACTGCAAAACATGAGATGTGTGATTTCCGATGCGAAATATTATATCAAAATCAGGCTTCCAAAAACCTATTTACCAGCTAAAACGCATTACTATTCTCGTCGCACACCTAAATCCCTAATCCTACTGCCACCTGATCAAAGGCACAGCACAGCTTATGCCAAATTAATCACTTTTGAACCTAATTTTACGTGTTTTTTGCGTCTGTGCAATGCAAAGCGCGTGCTGTCGAAGGTTGTCTGTGTGTTTGTATGTGTCTGTATGCCTGTGTGCGCCTGTACCGAGTTTACAGCTCGAGACCTACAAAAGCTAAAAGGCTGAAACTTCGACAACTTACATGCACGTACTGGCTCCTATCCCTAAAATGAACGCTCATGTCCACGTGGCTCCCACATACGAGCTCAAAAAAATTTTTGGGGGTAAGTTGCTGACTCGGGAACCAAAAAAGCTAGAAAGCTGAAATCCTGAGGGGATACTCCACGTCCACTTAAAACTTAATGACTTCAAAATCAACCCCAGGTGTGCATGGTTCTCACGCACGGGCCCGTGAAAACTTCTAGCAAGTTGCTAACTCGAGAACTAGAAAAGCTTGAAATCTGAAATTTTGAGGGGATGCTTTCTGACCATCGTGATGGCCAGTTTCAATTCTTTTAGCTAGAAGCATCTGCCGGAAAAACAGTGCCATTAGCAACAAAAACCTGCGAGGGAACTGTGCACAAAACGCATCTCCGCACCGGCAGTTGGTGCGCTGGCCAACCACTCGTTTCTTTTCTCAGCAATAACGCCTAGTGCATGACAGCAGTTTAAGCAATTCTGGCAGTTGTGATGCTAACAAACAGAGATTTCTGTTTCTTCAGATCCAGTTTAGCAGTCAAGAGCCTTCACTCTCGAAATGTTGCATCAGCACAACGTCAGTTCTGAAAGAATTTGCAAAAACCGCTTACTTTAAGGGAATAGATGGTGCGCTAGTTTCGGATGGTGCTTGTTGTTGTTGTTGTTGTTGCTGCTGCTGTTTTTCGGCTACTTCGGCAGTATGTAAAGTATCATCTTTGCTAAAAAAAACCGGTGAGACGCTTTCGTCCGCTTCTCCACAGATCCTTTCACTTTGTTCGGCATGTCCATCAGAATCTAGAAACACAAAACCGTAACGCGGTCTAAAGCAAAACTTAGAACAGCATTA